AAGAAGAAGCCAAAAAAAAAAAATGAGAACAAAAACAAAGGCTTTTCCGCAACTTTGCGGAAAAGCCAAAAATGAGAACAAAAAGAAAGGCTTTTCTGCTTTTTTGCGGAAAAGCCAAAAATGAGAACAAAAACAAAGGCTTTTCCGCAACTTTGCGGAAAAGCCAAAAATGAGAACAAAAAGAAAGGCTTTTCCGCTTTTTTGCGGAAAAGCCAAAAATGAGAACAAAAAGAAAGGCTTTTCCGCTTTTTGCGGAAAAGCAAAAAAAAAAAAATTAATGAGAACAAAAACAAAGGCTTTTCCGCACTATGCGGAAAAGCCAAAAAAAAAAAAAAAATGAGAACAAAAACAAAGGCTTTTCTGCAATATGCGGAAAAGCCAACAAATATAAAAACTGCCATGGTTGATTTTTCAGGAATTTTCAAATGAAAAAGGGTCTTTTTATTGTAACTTCCGGTCTGATGACGTCATTTGCCTAAAACTTCGCACACGTCTTAAGTGGGTCAAGGTCATCATATACACCAATATTTAGGCGATTACGACAAACTTTGCAACAGACATCTATTCAAAATACATTTTTGCTAATTTTCAACCTGTCGCTAGAGGGCGCTCGAAGATTGCATGACGTCATCGGTAGATGATTTGAAGAATACTATTGGCCAAGAGACTAACATTGTTATAAGCAAGTTTATATCTATTACCACTTTCAAATGATAAGCCACTTCCGTTTTGGCCTTTTTCGACCGGATGCAAGAGTCACGTGATTTCACGCACACTGAATGAAATAAAGACCTCAACCTATGCCACCACTTGCCGGCAACAAAATGCTGCGGACGCGTACGGTTGATTTCTTATGCATTTTTGAATATTAAAAGTGTCACAATTTAATTGCCCATAAATACACACCTGACGACGTCATCATGACGTCATCATTACATAATGTTGTTTAAATTAGGGTCCTTGCTTAGACAAAGATTGGTGTAAATGAATTACTGGCAAAGAGTCAAAAATGCCCTTTGCAAATCGACAATTTTTTTTTAATTTCTGTGTACAAAGTCTATGGGAAAAATTAAATATTCAAAAATCTATAATATATTAGTCGATGACGTCACCATGACGTCAATCTTCGGGACACATCTTTGCTATAGGGACTATGCTTATGCTAACTTTGAATGAAGTATGACAAAGATTAATGCCAAAAGTGGCGTTGAGAAAAAACGTGCACAAAGTCTATGGGATTTAGGCGACAAAAAGAAGAAGCCAAAAAAAAAAAAAAAAAAAAAAAATGAGAACAAAAACAAAGGCTTTTCCGCAACTTTGCGGAAAAGCCAAAAATCAGAACAAAAAGAAAGGCTTTTCCGCAAAAATGCGGAAAAGCCAAAAAAGAAAGAAAAAAAAAATGAGAACAAAAAGAAAGGCTTTTTCGCAAATTTTGCGAAAAAGCCAAAAAAGAAAAAAAATAATCTTAACAAAAACAAAGGTTGTTTCGGCAAAAGTGCCGAAACAGCCAAAAAAACCAAGTACTGTCACTTATTGTGAGCGAGTGAAGAACTTTTTTTGCATCGTGGCTTTCTTGGTTTTCCAAAAACACCTGAGGGAAAAGCAGCAGAGCATTGTGTAAATAGGCCATCGTATTGATGACCACACTAATTACACGTGAGGTTTTTTTTTTACGGAGCTAGTGAGAACCAATAGCTCTGTAGAAAAAGTGCTCACCATGAAGAGTGGTATCATTGATATGAAAATTCCATTCCATAGAACCTGAATAAAAGGTCTTCATGTACATTACATGCTATCAATGCTGTAGTAGTCACCAATTACAGTGAACAATAGCTCTGTGCAGAGGATTAGTGAGGCCCCTGGTCTTTGCGGTCAGTTAGTGGAAGCCTCCACTGCTGGATATAAAAACCACAGGATTCATCGTTATTAAAATAGTGATTTGTATCGGGAGCCGGCAGTGCCAACCGTCGGACGGTTTGTAGAAACAGGTCACCCGCTTTCTGTGCAAGCGGGAGCCGATTAAAGAGGGGCTCAAATGAAAGCGGCTCCCGGTTAATGAACCGGGGTTATTTAGCCTGTCCACCTTAGAGCATCTGGAACAAGTTTACCTTATTTTTTATTTATTTTTTTTAGCCGATTCATTGGGTCCATTTATAGTAGAAATCGGATCCCAATTTAAAAATGACAATACACAAACATGTTTTTAAATCCTTGTTATATTTAAGACTCAGCAAAATTCCACATTTCCCGCCCCTCTCTCTATGCACTCTATTTGGCTTGATACTTTTTTCCGGGACTTAATAACACTTTGGGGGTCACAATTACACTTCGCTGGATAATTTCTGAGATCATGCTAACCCAAAACCTTCCCAAAAGGCTGATATAAACCATAAACAAATGATCAGGCCAAACGTAGCCTCGGATGGTAGGTCAAACCTGACCAGGGACTTTTTAGAGTGCGTGAATCTGTAAATAGATAGAAGGCATTTCCCACAACTGATCAGTCCAAAAAGGTTGCCTGGATGCTATGCACCAGTGTCTGACATTTGAAACAAAATCCCTGATTATTAAAACTGATTATTTTCCGTGCTAATGATGTCGTTGTAAAGGCATAGAGTATACACCCGTGAATGCACGTGTAGTCCAATGGCTTGATAGAACTACATGAAGCCATTTTAAAAAATTAATGTAATCCTAATTCTTTAAAAAAAACATTGAAGGGAGAAGCTGTACATGGATGCAGAGCTAGTTTAGGCGTGAGCCTTGATCACCTTACCTTTTGTCATCTGCATGCCTGATGCAGTAAACACAAGAACTAGGAAAACATCCATCTCTGCACATGTGAATCAAACATTTCATAAGATGTAAATGCTTAATGACACGGCTGGCTAGCTATCGCAGTACACTAATATAGGAAAGGAAATGAAAGTGCTCATGCTATGCTTATCCCTTGTTTCGTGTTGTTGTTTCAGTTATGATTTTTCTCAATGTTTACATTAGGGATCGATTTGCTGCTGAGATTTTATGGCGTGTCAAGTACACAAAGATGTCAGTAATGGGAAGGGATCAAAGGCAATAACGTTCCTGTGAAAATAAAAAAAATAAAAAAAAAAAAATTACTTGAGGCCACGACATAGGTTTTTTGCTTCAAATGTCGGCTGATGACTGCAAATGGTGCCCTACTAAACTTAGTGCAAATATAGTGGAGTCCAGAGATGTCACATAAAGCTTATTCTCGACCATAACCCAATCTAAAAACACGGTAAAATTGTGCAGCAGCAGGATTCCAGTCAAACCAGTGAGTTTGGCGGTTTTGAGACATCATCTTTCATTGAAAAAAAAAAATCATTTTGCCGACGCGCATGGCTACGGCGACGCGCGCATACCAGAAACCGGAGACTTTTTCTTGTTGGCCTAAAAAGAAGTAGGCTTTTTTGAGAAGACGTGTGGTTTTGAAAAGAACCGGTAGGTTGTGAAACTGAACGTTCCGATTCTAATCATTTCTCCTGAAGACGATCAAAGCATTTTACAACCAACCGGTTCTTTTCAGAGCCACAAATCTTCTCAGAAGAGATTCTTCCCCGTCCTGGTACTGCACACCTTCACTATATAGTCTAGTCCCAGCTTAAGTTAGACCACTCCCATCTTGGACACATACATTGGGACGGCGACATGCACACATCCCAGCTGAAGTTCGGCCCATGGCCTAGTTGGGGCGTAACACATGCAACTTACGGTAAAATAACGGTACCTGGCGATTTGTTATTCTCGTGTGTGTGCCCGTGTGTCTGATGCAAGAGTTTGTTGCTATAGTTGTTACTGGTTTATAGTTTTTACGACTACGCGATATCAATGTGATTTCGTTCCATACCCTGTTGTGTCAACTGCACGACATTAAGTGGCCTATATTTTTGTAAGTCAATCCATTTGTTACATTAATAATTGGAACATGACACAGCAAACATCATTGCCCTCGTCCGAGTGAATACTTAAGGCACAACGCCTCAATAAATTTTGACAATTAACACGTTTCAGGAACGACTCTTCCTGATTCTTCTTTAGTTTCCATTACCCGTTAGTGGTCCCTAATTTCATAATCTGAATTATGGAGGAACGGGGAACAAGCCTAACCGGATTGCATTGGGTGTATGCTTTTTGTATACACTGTGAACTTTAACACCGGTACAAACATGGTTGATGAATAGGCCAAGTTAATCAGTAATTGTAAAATTACAGCACGCGGGTGTCATATGGAATGTGGATTCCTATCAAATGTGGTCTTTTTTTACCTTACATTGCCTTTAACCCTCACACGTTACTCGTCAGTGTCATTATTATTTCCTACAAGGCATGCGCAATCAACTAACGAGTCCGTATTTCATTGAGTCCAAACTTTACATTTCACCAGTCATAACCAAAATATAACCGTACGCATAACAATTGGCTAGCTTCACGTGACCGAACAGTCCCTATAGCACTGTGAGCCTGTGTGCCAGATGTGTCCATGTTATAATTTGATCCATGTTATTTAAACATGTATAAACAGTCGTTCATTTCATTTGAAAAATAAACGATTGCGATTCAAAAAGCCTATAAGCATTGAGTCGGACATCAGGCTACTCTTCAAGAGATACTATCCAGAATGGTGAGTTATTAGTGAATTGAGGGGCAAGCAAGATGTAACATTGACAGTGTTTACAAGGGAGGTTTCGGGGGCGTCTACTAGAGAAGTTTCATGGCGTCATTCATGGTTGCTTTCCTTGGCCCATAAGTCTTTCAATTCATGAGTTTTGAGAACGTAAATTATTACAATTAATAAAAAAAAAAAATCAAATTTCCACAACATATAAATACACATAAATAACCACAACTAAATTAAATAAAAAAATAGTAGAGCTGTTACCGTTTGGAATGCATGCATTATAATTATATTCATGTTGTAAATGCTTCGTTAATCAATTGTTATTTTATGCCCAGGCATGTACTTAACTGCAACACTAATGCCAACAAAATGGACTAATGTTCGATTTGTTTTAATCAGTGTTGTAGTCGAGTCCATCACGATTCGTCGCAAGACCGGTGAGTCCGTTAGTGAGTCGGTCGGTCAGTCGGGAAGTCAGTCGGGCAGTCAGTCAGTGAGATTGTTACAAAGATGAATGCCTATAAGTAATTCGATTTTTTTTTGGAACTCTAATGACGTCCTATTTATAAAGGCGTAAACACCCAAGTCACAAGCTAATCAAGTGACTTGTAACAAATCTGCTCATCCTTATGGCCTGACTTGTGAACTGACTAATGATTTACTGGACTGGACAATGATTGACTTGGGGAAGGACTCTACTACGTCGTTGCTTTTTATCCTCATCAAAACCTCTGTATGTATTTGTATTATGCAGTGCTCAGCCCGTGCGCAATTTCGTGTCGTCAGTGGACTACTGGTTGTCTTGGCATGGCATGCAAAAGCAGAGAGAATCTGTCCATCAGGATCAGGTAAAACAATCATAATTCAGCATGATCAAAACGTTTCAATTATTATGTTTCCGCTGGTCCCAGACAGACTGACTCGCTAACTGTCATTTGTAAATTAGACTTGTTTTAGCCTCGCCTTGGCCCCAAACATCAACTCACATGACTGACGTGAACCCATTAGACCAAATTTGTCCTGTATAAGCCTTGGCTTGCCAAGTTTTATATTTTGATAATCTTTTTTTCTGTAAGCACAAATTTATGTGTTATTTCGATTTAAGCACATTTTATATTTTAATGTTTCAACCAGCTTGGAATTCGGAAGATGCATTTGGACTCAGAGGCAGCGAGGCCTACTTACAGAGGAGACTCCGGCATCGAGTTTCTTGCCTGGCATTTCTTCAAGGCGAGCAATTAAACGGTGTCATTTGGTACAAAGGGTCCGGCATAAACGACCCATCAAAGGTTCGTCTGATCAGCCGAGACCTGCGAGATGGAATCATTATAGACACACCTGCCGACGACAGATACTCCATGTCGTCCGATCACGGCCTTGTCATTGAAGGAGTCAAGGACAGGGACGAGGGGAGTTACCTATGCCAAGTACTTCCTCTTCTTACCTATTATAGAGTTGAAGAGATTCTGCTTCGAGTTATCGGTACGATAACGTCAATTCAATAGCCCAAGGCAAACTCAAACAATTCACTTTGCTTAAAAGTGCCAAGCAAACACTTAGGTTCACAATTGTATACGAATGGAATCCCGCGGTTCTTTTGCTGTTGTTGTTGTCCTTGTTTTGTAAAGGGTTACAGTGTGACTTTAAACGTCACTTACTTTTTTGTGGGAAAATGAAGAAATCAATTTTAAAATCTTTATACAATCATAACATATATAATCATAAACCATAAAATATAAACTGACAAAAAAGTGAAAGAAGGTTTCTTTGTCTTTATGAAAGCCCGTTTCCTCTGAGTAATTTTGATTGACTTTATGAATTAACTACTAATTCGAAAATATCGGTGGCTTGTATAACTCTTTTGTAGGAGACACGTTTCCAGCTGGCACAATTGAAGCATCGTCCAGTGCTAGTTTCCAGCGAGGCCGCAGACAGACGCTACCGTGTGAGTGCGCGTCACAGACACCAGACGTAGTGTATTGGTCAACGGGTGAGGGCGTCACTACAGATACACAGATCATTGTTGCACGTTTCTCTGATGGTGCTACCCTGCAGATCCAACATGGCGCCGATTACAGCATCGGTAGCGACGCTTCACTTACAGTCAACTCCTTGCATGACGTACAAGATACGCAAAAATTGTGGTGTCACGTGTTTCAGTCAGATGGTACTCTCAGAAATTGTGACATCGATGCCCAGATATCAGGTAATGCCAAAGGTATGTTAATCGAATAGAAGACGTAGTGCTTTTTTTCGTTGACGAAGTTAATTTTGCAACAAACATAAAAAAATAATAAGACATAACACAAAACAAGAAACATTTTCCGAACTAAATTTTCTTTACCGATTTGAAACAGTTGCTCTACATTTCACTCTTTCTTTGAAGTAGATGATGTGGAATCAGCTAGTGATGCACTGAAGGCCTCAGAAAGATCTTTCTACCTCCAAAGCAACACACAGCAGATGCTCCCTTGCCTGAGCTGGACACCTGGCGACACAGCTTGTGAGGTGGAGTGGAGTAAGCTCGACAACCCAGATCGACAAATCCTCAGTTACAACCTGTCGACTGCTGTCGTCGATTCTAGTCCTGAATTCGATCTCGCAAGTGACTTTGGTTTGATGATTCAGTCAGTTGATGATGACCATGCTGGAGCGTATCGATGTGCTGTGGGAGATGAAATCCAGATAGATGTTAAAGTCCGAGTGATTGGTAGGTGCAGGGATTGAGCTTTTAGCTGAGACTTCAGATTTCTAGTTTCAGGAAAATTACCGTTTTGTCTGTCATATCTGCAAGGTTTCATATACAGGCATCATTCCAACCTATTTTTTTCTCTCGCACTGTGGTTTGTTACTGTAGGGGATCGCATTCCATTGGACGGTGGCATTGCTACAGAAGGTGACAGCGTGACCATTAAACCTGAAACTGGATTTTCTCTTCAATGTCCGGCTCTGTCAGACATCTCCTTGACAACGAAGGCAACTTTGTTCTGGTCCTTTGGCGCCAATGATGCAGAGTCTACCACTGTGATCGGCACACTGAATCTACCAGATGGTACAATAAAGATGTCTGATCTGGGAAAGGACTGCCTCGGCATATCAATGGGGGGCGCTCTGCTCCTTAACAACTGTTCCCAAAATGATGACGTCAGATACTGGTGTCATGTCTTCCCTGTGAATGGCGATCTGATCAGATCACATGTGGATGTGTTGTTAAAAGGTAAGTTTTTGCCTTTCATGACGTCACATCTTGCTACCATGTTAGTCAGTTGCTGGTCTTATCATAGTTATCATACGTTGACGTATCTATCAATACAGTATAGTATGCTAACTTTTATCTTTTGAAAGAAACAAGTGACTGCACTTTTTATGTGAGGAGACCGATAGAAATGTTCTGCTAAAAAGAACTTTGATGACAAATGGAATGATGTGCCATGGAAAAAAGATCATCAGAATGACGCCATTAAATCCTTTGTGCGGATGCCAAACCATCCTTCTGTTTTTCTGTTAAGGACATTATTGTGTAAAGAGGTCTGTGAGAGTAGATTCAAGCCATGGTTTGGTATAGACGAAATTCAAATTGTCTTCCGTTGCGAAACACATTGTTTCATATATTCCTTTTTCATTTGATTATCTGTATGCATTAGATTCAAACGGTGATCCTGAGACAATCAATGTCGTCGCTATCGCCGTTTCCGTGTTTTCAATCGTCGTTGTTCTTTTTGGGATTGTTCTTTTCCTGATCTGGAAGCGGCGTCTACGGTCTTCCCATTCTAGAGAAGACAAGGAGAGAGGTGATTACAAACGACTGCATAAGCAAGGTAAGAAATAGAAGAGGGAACAGCTAAAAAGGCATTGTCAAAAGAGAATGTCAGCAAATGTCATTGAATGCCTATTGTATTTGGCATCCCTGCAAAATTATTTCGACGATCATGTTTCTTTTGTTTCATGGTTAGCCTATCAAGGAGGGTGCCATACCCTTTTTTAAAGTCTGTACAAACTGGATTGTACTTTCCAACATTGCTAACCAGATTAGATATACACAGACCAGAGAACATGGGCATTGGGAAAGCATTAATTGCTTCAAGTTTGGATTAGAAAGTGACGTAAAGCCTGTCTACCCTGAAATGTTTATAAATGGAACCTTTGACGAAATACCAGAACAGCTGTGAATACAATTGACTGTAGGATTGTATTAAAGAAATCAATGCAGCCTGCAGGCCAAAATCACTCAATTGGTACGTAAACATTTTCCTTTAATTGTTTGACAGAATCCGTCCCGAAGTTGGATTTGAAGACGCTTGCCAAGAAGATCAAATGGTTTGTAATCAGCAAAATGGGCAGAATTCCTATCACACCGTGGGTTGACGGGGACGATGCTCGCTCTGCACCAATAGATATAGTCTACAAAGCCTTGGAGATGTTCGTCAATGTCTCCCACGGAGGTAACACTGTAAAGTATCGATTAGACTCAGAGTCTGGTATCTTTGATGACGGTATTCCAGAATTGGCCAGTAAGCATGCTATAATACAAGGTAGACGGGGTTGTGGTAAGACTACGTTTTTGTACAGATTGATATACAACTGGGCCATGGGAAGGGAACTTGCACTATGGGGTAGTGATCAGATAGTTGTTCTTGTCCCAGCTTGGTTGCTTATTAAAGCTGAAACCATCGGTGAAGCAGTCGTTGAATGCATGCTTCCAAAAGACGCAAACATTTCGGCGGAATCCATTAATACACACTACGCACGAGACAAAAGCAACCTGACAATTTTGGTAGATGACTGTAATGACCAGCACGATATTGACGCTGTCATGAAGGTTATGACAGATAATGAAGTTCTTGGCTGTCAGTTAGTTTTGACCACTAGATATGCAGAGCTGGCAAAAATTGCGTCACGAAAACACAACATGCGCCATGTCACCAATACCGGTTTTACGCTCAGAAATGCCATTGAATACATCAATGTAGTTTTGGATGCTGCTCAAGGGAGAGCGGAATCTACACCTGAGCACAAAGTGGTCAAAAGTGAAGCTGAAACGAATTCAGGTTCGACTTTGGACACGAACATCGAACAACATCTGGTGGACACCGAACAGGCAACTCTTAAGGAAGCTAAGGATAACACTGCCACTGACGAAAATCTGGAGAAGACAGAAGAATCCAAAACAACTAAACGAAAGAAACTACGAAATCTTCATCGATATCTGGAAGAGGACATTCTTCAACCAGATATTTCATATCTCCCAGCTGTCTTGGCGGCTCTCTGTCAGATGTCAATCTGGTCAAAAGGAGATGCCTTCAAACCTGACGTTTCCATGGCAAATTTGTTCTTCAGATTGGTCAAGTGCATGTTCGACAGGATGAAAGGTCTGGAAGTAGATATCACTGAGGGAAAACAACTCGGTCTGCTCACGGAAGACCAACTGAACGTACTGGCAGAGCTTGGTAGAGTGGCTTATTTCGTTGACAGTTGTTCAAATCATGCGGACTACTCTACCGAGGACTTCTTAAGTTCGTCAGAGAAGGGAAAACACGCTTTAGAAGTTGCAAAAGAAGTTGGACTTCTTTGTCCATTGCAGGTTGAGTCCCAGGTGAAATCTACGCAACATAGTACTGAGACAGTTTCTTCTGAGGTACCAGAAGTAGAGATACGGACAGGGATTCATTGTTGTAAGAGAAAGCAACTAAGTAGAACTGATCCAGATTCGAATTATCAGGATACAGAGCTCACTCGCCTGACAAGTCCGCAAGTTGAAAGGGTTTATTTTGTCTTGGAGATTCTTGAGCAGCTTTGCGTTGGTGTGTTTTTCGCTCAGACCAAAGGAAACGTGAGAAAATTGTTCGCATACAACAAACAGATTGGCAAAAGGGAGATTCCTCAGAGGTTTTCAAATGTATGCCAGTTTGCCTTCCAAGATAATCAGTTTGACGGAGAAGCTCTTGTTGATTATTGTGCAAAGGTCGTCTACTGGACTAATATTCAGGTCGGGCCCCTCCATGTTGTGTTGCAATTGCAAAAGCTCATAGAGTTGTGTCTCCAGCTGAATTTCGAGAGGCAGTGTGAGGGCGCCTTGAACGAGAAGCTGAAATTGATATTTCCTTGCGGGAGGGTCCGCTTAATTGGGACATCGAGTAACAAACTGCGTCTGTTGTCATACCTACTCGAACATGCTCAGCCTGTAGACAAGAGCAAGCTGAATATTACGTCGGTTGAATTGCTTCGGATTGGTAGATATGACTGGTCAGAGCTTCTACAATACATTGTATATTTTAGTTCCGGGAAAAGGGAACCTGAGGATAAGGAAACGAAGAAAACGAAGATGGAGAAACCGACGAAGAAGAAAGCTTTGAAAACAAAAACCGAAGACACTCAGGTATCTTCAACTGGAACCAAACAGGCAAGAGCTCCAGCAACACAGAAAGGCGTCAAGAAACTGACAACCAACACTGGGAAGGTCAGTTCAAGCTTAAACGAGCCGCAGCCAAGCGCAGAAAAACAACAAAAAAACAAAGCTGACCAAACAACAATCCCAGATCCACGAACCGAAGGTGACAATAAACCGAAACTAGAAGTCCTCCAATATTCACCTTCAGTTGGGAGCGAATCATCAAACAAGGATGGTGGCAATGAGAATGAATCTATTGACTTGTCATTAGATGAGGATATTGCATCTTATAATGTAATTAAGAGTAACAACGATCAGGTTATATTGAAACAGTTGTGTGAGGTAATACATTCCAAAAACCAAGACATGCCTCGGTTTCCTCCAGGAATGTCAGATATCAGTGTCCTCCAAACAATGCAGACTTTTTGTCTACAGGAGCTGTTAGATTCACAGGCAGGGGAGTGCTACTCATCGGGTGCAGCAAGAGACTTGGCTCGCTGTCTTACTCGTCTGGAAATGCTGGAGAGTCTGGTTCTGGTTGGGACGATTCTGAGTTCAGACGCTATTTGTGAATTAGCGAAAAGTGCTCACCAACTCCCAAACTTGAAAAAGCTAGATCTCCGTCTGAATAAGGAGTTTGATGACAGAGCCTTTGTGGCGGTAACAAATTTGCCTCTACGAGAGTGCAAAAAGTTGAGCGATCTGAGATTGTCTCTGTACGGAGTAACTGATGGAGGGTTTGATCAAGTTCAGATGGAAATGAAGGGTGATGAACACAGGTGGACAAGATTGAAGACACTGTATCTGCTGCATGGATCGCCTATTGAGAAGTTTGTAGGATTCCTCAGCAGTTGTCTAAGGTACTTCTATTCTGTTGAATCTTTTCATATTTCGGCCCGTGAAAAAGAACAAAGAATATCGGACAATATTCAGGAGGAGTTCGAAACAAAAATGAAACATTTGGAAATCATGCCGAGTCTGGAATCCCTAGACATTGGCAGCATGGACACACTAAAGGTACGATTGGCTTCTTTGAAACTCCCTAAGAAGGGAATCTTGAACAAGTACGCTAGCCTAGGGAAAAAGTCGGTGAGCAGCATTGTCGAGTCGGTAGCATTTCCGTTCAGTGTTGTCTCGGGTGTTCCCGTGGGATATGAGGTGTCTGCTGGAAATTGAACTTCAATGCCATTGCCTGTTGATAAGAACTAAGACACTTGCATGTTCAAGTGAACCCTGGACGGTGATGAAGGTTTTGAAAATTATATTTCGGATTGCTTTACACCTTTTCATTGTTCTGTGTCAAGAACTGCAATATTCACAGAAACAAATCTGTATTTGACAGTTTGCAGGTACTCCCGTGTGAGATGGCAATGAGGTATGACGAATTTTTGGCACAAGCCCCAAATGGGCCTCAAACCCAACGAATAAGATGATGATTTAATGCTTGAACATGTTACAAAATTGTTCGTATGTTGATCTACCATTAAAGTAATTTGTGATCACCAATTTCAGATGTTTTAAGGGATATAGAAATTGATATGACATTTCTGGTACTTTCATTTCATGCAAGTTGTATTTCAACCGGACAATGTATGTATATAGCTATCTTGAGAGCTCTCTCTCAGATCTGTTCAAAAAAGAGATGGCTTTAGGCCTGACGTTACCATGACATTTTTTTTACATATTTGATTGGATGGAAGGTCTAACCTTTACCTAAAAATGACTTAGACTTCTTCGACCTATGAAGGTTAAGTCTAAGGCTGAATTTACGATGAAAAATACAGAGTTAAGTTCTTCGGAGCTATCACAAGTAGAGATATGGGCAAGTTTTTTTTTTGTTGTAAGCGATTTTGGCAAAGTTGAGTCGAACCAAGTCCGATAAGGCGAAAACAAAACTCACGCCCCTTTAGTCTTTTTTTGTGACGAAATGGTTCGGTTTGTTTTGACGATTCTTGAACAACATTGCATTGCTCTTTTCTTGGCCTAAAAAGCAGTACAGGTGGGGGAAATAGGGTTTATCACCACAAAGATTGGCCGCAGGGAGATTCTCGCGAGTATTTCAGCTTCATTGAAGTGAAACAATCGCCTCAGGTAGATGCAGGGCTACCTGAAGAAACGCAACAGAAGTTTGAAGCTGGTTAAAAAACAACCCAAGATGCACGAAACGACATGGACAATTCTTTCCTTAATATAAGCCAACAAACCGACAAAGCCCAACACAACACCTAACAGTCTTCAATTCCATATCAATAATTGCATTGGATAATGAGAAACGTCTGTCAAAGACGTTGGAGGATACAACATGAAAACAAGCCTTCCAATATTCACCTCCAGATGCAAAGGTTGGCAATGAGAAGTAGAGAAAACTTTCTTTTTACATCTGACTTTCAAATAGTTTGGGGAATGCGCCTGATTCAAAACATTAAACAGGTCCGAGACGGTCACTCAATGGTGAAATTCAGTAGCCAATCGCAACTTGATCAATGGCGGTTGATGAGACACTTTCAGATCGCGGAAAAGGGAAAGGCAAATCGCTTTTCATTCTTAATTTAACTGAGGTATCTTATTAAAAAGAATCTGAACAGTCATGTGCTCCATTAATCATGTACTTGTTAATATGATGAACCGTATGAGTCACTACCGGGCTTTGCTTAAACTTAGTTTGTCAACTCTGACATAGGCTGTTTCTCTTCCTTGTGTCTGATTAAGTAGCTGTAGCTACGAAAGCTTATGCCTAAATTGTATTTTATTCGGTTTTTAAAGTTACCACCTTCATTATGTACTTATAAATATTTGCTCTCGGCAACATTTCATATCTAAAAGGGCCTTTTGGTGTTAGTTTTTACGGACTTGCGGTGATCGAACCAAAAAATAACATACATTTATGATACATACAAAACATATTTTTCTCGGGTCTTTAACCCTCAGATTATAATTTTAAGCTTTTAATGTTGCTTGTGGCAGATAGACTTTTTTAAACATTTGTTTACAATGAAATATTGATTGATTATGTATTGTATGTAATCGTTTATTGCTGATGTATACATAGAGAAACCGTTGGGTTTGATAAATTGTATATTAAGGTTACAACTTTTTTGACCAACTAACCTCCTTTTTGAATTAATAATCCATGACATTCAAATGGGAGTCATGTCTGTCTACGAACATTACTCAGTGTACACAATAAACAACACTCGGCATTCTCTGGTTCTAAAGTCAAACAATACATTGCATTTTGGGTGTAGAATATATTTATCACTAAACATCTGTATAGAGGAAGGAACATGCAGTAATGTTAGAAGAAAAGGTAATGTTAAAAGATGTAGACATACATGCTATCTAAGTAAGCATAACAAAAGATGATAATTGACTGCATCAAGTGAATCATTTCTTGTGTTTTCCTTCTACAGTTTCGCTGAATACAAAAGGTGTTTGCAAAGCTGTATCGTTCGGTATAACGGAACAAAGATATTCGAATGTAGTTTCCACGGTAATCAAGTATATTGTCATAAGGTGTTACGTTATGGATTAGATTTGTAAACGACTGCTATAAGATACACTGGTAAAAAATACACTTATTTTTGTTTTGTTTTTCATTATTATGATTGATTTGATGAGGTGCTGTGTGGCCTGGATACGGTGTTCGACTCGTGTGCCGTGGCACACGAGTTCGAATCCTGACCGTGGGAACATGGTGCTTGTGTTTCTGAGCAAGGCACTTTACCAATAAGCCGTAGGTCCTGTGTGTTGTGAAATGCAAGTTAAAGAACCCAATAACACTTATCGCTAAGAGAAGGGGTTTGCCCCGGTGTTTCTGGCAGTGGCTGCAATATGCGCCGCAGCACTCATTAAACCACAACAAGGTGCTACAAAATGGGTCTCATATTTCTGAAAGACTTAACAAATAGACATAATTTCCAGAGCCTTGAGTACCTAATTGATGTTTTTTTTTTTTTTTTTTTTGGGGGGGGGAATAACATTATATCTTCCACTTTCGCAATGTGGCCAGGCATCAGGAGTCAAGCTTTTTGATATAAAGAGGGGGGGGGGGTGAAGGCATTGGGCCTGGGACATCTCACCCCTGGAAAAGTTTGAATTGTATGATGCTTTCTCCAGGCAATTTTGAGAATAAGTTGAGGAATTCTAAGCATTCCATTTATATAACGTTTTGTATTAAGTACATTAACATTTGCTCTGTCAGTTTCTTATTTTACCACACAGACCATGCTGAAAGTGAAAACATAACTAATAACCTGCAATTACAAAACCGTATGGCATTTAAATATATACTCAGTGCTTTTTATTTCTTTTAATGTACAATTGGCTCTTCAATGTGAATGTTATTTCGTCTGGAAGATATGGGGATAATTATGAAAATATTAAACAAAGGAATGAACAGAGCACCGCTTTATTTCCCACATGGTATGATGGAAATATACCATGTTCCTGTCGTGCATAACACATTCGATTTGGATTCACTCCTGATAACGGAGATCACTCTCTAAGAGTGATTATGAATAACAGACTACCTACCCAACTAAAACTCAATCATTTGAAGTCACTCTTAATGACCGGGCCGCCCAATAGTCCGAAGATTCGATAGTCCGAAAGATCTTTAGTCCGAAGGTTCGATAGTCTGAATGCACAACACTTCCATAAGAGGGGGTTCGTTAGTCCGAAAATGAAATAAGGTTCGGTAATCCGAACATGCAACAGTCCGAAGGTTAATTAATCCAAAGATTCATTTGTCCGAAGGTTCGTTTTTCCACATTTAGAATAAGGTTAATTTGTCCGAAGGTTCAAAAGTCCGAATCAACAGAAATGTCCGATAGTCCGAAGTGTCAGACTGACGAACCGTATTGCCTATTCGAACTTTCAAACCTTATTCTCAATTCTGCCTTTCGAACCTTATCGTCAACTTGGACTATCTAACTCTGCCGTATATTCGGACTATCAAACCTTATCATCTATTCGTAATATCGAACCTTATATTGCCTATTCGGCCTATCGAACTCAATCGTCTATTCGGACTATTGAACCCTCGGATTAATTAACCTAATTCCATTTTCGTACTAATGGGCCCTTCGGACTATCGAACTGTCGGACTATCGAATCTTCGGACTATCGGGCTGTAACATAATGAACATGGTAATAAGAATGTAGCGTATTAAGCACAAATAACAGCGAATACGTGTGCTTTACAAATACGCATTATTATTTATCATTACAATTAAAATTATTAGATCCGCATAACATTATAGCCAGCGATTGGAGGGGACAAATCAGCGGCTTGCCCAGTGCGATATGTGCGTCGAAAAGTCAGTCACTGGACTGACGCATCAACTGGAATGACGCATCAACATTAGCCGTACTATAATCTCGTGATTTTAAGGATTTGTGCGAAAACGGCAGAGCATCAGCGGAGTCTCCTTTGCCGAAAGTATGTAAAATTCCTTCAATTTACAAGATGAATTAACATGCAGAAATGTCAGCGCGAATATCGTTAAGAGGAATAAAACCGCCATGTCGCACAAAAGGCTGGGGACAATGTGAAGTTGTGGCTTTGAAAATGAAATACCGAGAGTGTGGAATTCTAAACATAAAACATAAACAGAGCAGCCTGTCTTGCAAGTAAAATACCCCTATGAACACATTTTTACTTTCATTCTGAACAACGAATAAAAATATCTTGTTTTTCATATTATATATTTTTGGGACAAGTAATAATTTTAACAGAGTGTCAATGCTGGCATCATATTTGTTAGTGTGTATATTCCATCCATGTGCGCATTGTGTTTCTGAAAATGAAATACAGTGATATCAGAAGATGTTTATGCCTGTGGAAACAAACAGGAAACCTAATATGTCGCAAGTTTAGTTTCTGTAAATAAGTTTAGATCTGCATTCATAAAGGACATGGACACCATGTGCAAAGCAAATAAGGACAATAAAGCCGAACAGTTCATGTTTACTAACTATTAAACTGTTGAAATTTCAGCTCAATAAGATTTCGCAATAAAAAAGGTAAATGCATATGTCACTTTTATGAAAAAGTACCCCCTTCCTCTAAATTTTGGTTTATTTGTTTATTTACCAGCCTGTATTTTATTATTCATTAGCACCCAAACTCATTCTTTTTAAATTCACCATCGGCCAATCCACACTCGCTGTTGGTG